GTCGCAAACTTTGTGAGTGGCACGCGTTAAACGAAATTTATGAGCCAGGCCGACAGCGAGCAGAGATACCAAAAAATATACTCAAAGATACTTTAAGTGTAGCAAGTTGAGGAAGTCGGCAAATAAAAAAAAATATATATATATATATATGCATATACTTGATAGGTACAAGGCACTAATGCTGCTTTAACCAACTTTGGTTCACCTGAAGATCCTATTGAAAAAGCATATTACAATAGCTGGGTATACCTAGCAGAATATATATAAAATATCTCTATAGTTGTTATGACATATTGATTCACTGATAATTAATTTAAGTTAATTAAATGAATTAGTGTTCAATTAAAGCTTTATAAATTTTTGGGACTACGTTGTATGCACTTATATTCCTCGTTTATGATTTCTTAAGAGGCTTATTGCTTATTTTATATTTTTCTAATATTTTTCCTATATAAAATAATTTAATTTCTAGCTTTTGAAAGTTGACTACGAATAAAAATTAAAAATTTTTAAGAGATTTAATCTTGTACTGTCATAAGGGTCGAATTTCTGAAAGCAAAACAAAAAAAAAAAAAAAAAAAAAAAAAAAAAAAACACATATTTACTGTCAAAAGTCAATTCTGCTTTCATTTGAAAAAAATGAAAAATTTATGTATTAAGTTGTCAAAATTAATTAACGCATGAATGGCTTACATATATATGTAAACACACATGCATATAAATATGTATATTTGGATTGTCGAAGTGAATTAATATTTGTAATGCGCTGTCAAAGTAAATTACACAAACAATTTATGTAAGTGTCACAATATGAGAGTAAAAGTTTAATGTCGAAATGAGAGAGTAAAAGGAAGAGAGATAATCAAAGATAAAGAGAGAGAGAGAGAGCACAGACAGAGGAAGCGAAGGAGAGAGAGGTGCACGGAGAAAGAGCAACAGAAAGAATCGGTGAGAATGAGCAACAGAGAGAAAGATATATAGAGAGGAGGATAAAAAGAAAGAGGGAGAAAGTGAAAAGAGACCGAGGCGGAGACACACCTAAGACAAACAAAATGAGCCAAAAAAGAATTAAGAGCGAGATTGAGAGAGAGAGAGAGAGAGAAACAGGGAGGGATAAACAGATAGAGAGAAAGAGAATTAGAAATAGAAGCAGTGAAAATAAAACATGGAGAGATAGTGATATAGGACAGGAATGAGAAAAAATATAAACATTGATAGACTGAGAGAGGCATAGAGAGAGAGAGAGAGAAAGGCAAGGAGGGATTAAAGCCTATATTATGAGTAAATAGAATAGAAAGAGAGAGGGCAAAGAATGGCTTATAGAGGGAAATTGACGAAAGCAGATAAACTTCAACCAAATGAGAAACCCAAAAATATAGAATGAAGCAGAAAAAGAGTAATTCATGGGGAGAAAAAGAATAGAGTATGGATAGACAAAGAAAGTTGGAGTGAAGTAGAGCAATATCGAATAACTGATATACAAGGAGACAAAACGACTTTAGAGAGAGATAGAAAATAAGCAAGGAAATAATTTTGAAGATGTTCCATATTAAATCACATCTGAAACACATAGTTATGTGTGTATAAAATCAGATTATGTAACATTTCTCAAAAAAGTGAATGATTTACGGTAAAGTCAACATTCTCTAGCCACGTGTGGAGCAGAGTAAAGTGAGCAAATAGTTGCGTTGGCCAGGAAATGGGAAATGGCAAATGCCAGGCAACTAATCAATCGACAAACACAACAGAAATGCAACAACTAAGAAATTGATCAATTAGCAATTTATCATTTATGCAAACAAGCCAAGGGCCAAGGGCCCAGCCGACTGCCAACTGGTTGCCAAGCAAACAACAAATGCGCTCAAAATATGAATGACGGACCCGACCAAGAGTCCAGCCAGGGCCAGGGCGAGGGTGAGGGGGTAATACGTCCATTCAAATAACTCTCGGTCCTAAACAGTTGCGCATGCGCCGCAGTCGTCGCTTTGTTTGCCTTCAGCCAAGAGCATAAACAAACAGACGACTCAAAGGAGCTGCCTGCCTTGCCCTGCCTGGCTGATTATTATTGTGGCAAGAATTTACACAAAAATGCAATCAGCGCGTAGGATAAATATACAAAATGCCTAAAGACAGGCAGACAGAGAGAGCGAGAGAGCGAGAGAGCGAGAGAGAGAGAGAGAGGGAGGGAGAGGGAGACAGACAAACGACGACAACTGGCGCGTTATCATGACTGAATATTTACACAATTCGATAAATTTATCACTCGACTCGAGTCGTGGCGAGTTCTGGCGATTAGCGACTCGCCTTGCCCCTGTCCCTGCCCCTCTCGTTTCCCCTTGAACACTCTTAGCTGTTTAATTTTCATATTTAGCTGTCACTCGGCATTTGTTTGGCCGTAGATAAAGTCAAGAGAAGTTGCACTGCGTCTCTGACATGAGCTTAAATTGATGGACAGAGAGGAGGAAGAGAAAGAGAGAGACAGAGAAAGATAGAGAGAGAGAGAAGACAGTTTCATGAGCTGAAATGCAAAATTAATAAAAAGCAAAGTTAAAACCTGGAGTAGATCACTCTTATCTGGAGTCAGAGTGATCTATAGAAGCTGCCAGAGTGTGATAAAGCAGAAAGAGTGAGAGAGGTGAGACTTTTAGAAGCAACTAAATACTTAGCTAAAGCTATAACTAAACGGTGGAAAACTTATGAGTTATGCAGATCATTAAAGTAATATTAGAACTCTGTTTTCTAAGATTTTTGATTGTATAATTTTAGACTTAAGGAAGGAACTTTACAACCTAACATAAAATGAAGTCCCTAAATCAATCCCATCTTTGAAACCTTACATAAAATTCCTACAAAACTCACGTCTTGTCAATATGCTTAGATAAATAATAATATCCGCTTGAAAAAAATTCTTGATAATTTGACTTTCTTTGTAATTCGAAGAAAAACTGTTCGCCTCGCCATTTCGAATTATCGGGACTCAACTTTAATGTTAATTGACATTAAAGAAATGCAAGTGGTAAATGTCACTCGGATATTATCAATTTTTAAAGATATAATCGAATATTAAAGTATTATATATGAGATATTAAAATAATATATTATAATAGATCTTTAATTTCGATTGCTTCAAATAAAATACAATTTTTTTTTATTGAATCCCTAGCTCAAAGTTAATTTGTTATATTTAAGAAACGACTGAAACCCATATTTTGTATAATTTTCTAAGAACTCTACCCGACCCCGATTAATAGCTATAAATGATTCGAAATTTTGTTTGCTTCAACTGTTTGATAATCCTACACTGTGAATAATTCGATGCGTGTTCTTTGAAAAAAAAAAGTAAAAAACTATTGTATATAGATATAGGTCAAGCGGCTTAGCCCGGTTCAGCTAACTGATTTGTATCTAGGGCACAAAGAGTGTCACCAAGTCGAAATATTCGAAAGCAACAGATGTTGAGCACTCAGATCTCTGTTCATATCATAAAACAAGCGCAAAGTAAACACACACACACAGTCTATGTGTGTGTGTGTGCTTGGACCAATCAATCAAACTGGGCAAACGTAAAGCGCGCCACGATATCATCTACAACAAGTGCCCCTCAGACATGGCTCTCCGCTACACTTGATTCCCCCCCGCTCTAAGACTCTATCTGAGAGTTTGTATCGCAAACAAGGCGTCATAAATCAAAGCGAGATCGCATGGTGCTCTCTCTCTCTCGCTCTTACTCTTCGTTTTCTTTGGGCTGGCGGCAAATCTCGACGGCTTTAAGCTGCTTTTTAATGCCTCATTATGACAAGTTGCGGCGCGTTACGCACTTTATAGCTTTGTATCTCAATCTACAGATTGTATCTTGTGTGAATATCTTGATAAATGCAGAGGAATCATCAGTAGCTAATGAAAACCATTTATAAACAATTATGGCTATATTATTATTAATATTATTAATATTTACTAAATAATTTTTAATCTATTTAACAATATATTTCGATACTGATAACAGTTTTATAATTCTGAATCTCGCGGATAGCAATACAAATCAACAGTTAGATACACTGTTTGTTTTGTTTCGTTAGCATGCCACAATGTTCCACAACGAAACGAAATGGCAATGAAAACTCTACTACTAGCTGGCAAAGAGAATGCCTGTGTTTGGGCTGCTTATACAAAAGAGAAAGGCAGAGCGCAAACTAAAGAGCGAGGGTTTGATGTTAGGCAAAGAGAGAGCCAGCTGCGATGCTTACTGTGAGCTATACTTACATGGCACAGGTGAAACGGTTGAAGAGTTAAATAATTTGGAGAAACATGAAAATTATAAGAACACAAAATAAATAAATTTGGAATACCTAAATTAATAATTTCCATATTATTATTAACACTTTAATTCTTTAGAGTTTAAATTTAAAATGCATAATCATATAATAATATATTTTAATAGAAAAATGTTTATTAAATTAAGCCGAATTATTTAGTCTTCATTAATATATTAAATTGGAATAAGATTACTAACTAATGCATAAACAAAATAATGAATATACAAAAATTAATTTTTGCAATCTATTATTGGTTTTTAAAGAAATCTAAATTATTTTTAGTAATCAAAATAAAAAACTGTTTATAATTATGTTTTTATAATTATGTTTTTACATACACAGACAGTATACTATATAAAATTCAATATAATAAAATAACGTTGTTTATTTACTTCTGCTCGACACAAGCCAATGCATTCCACAAACAAATCGCGCTCTTTACTTAATACACCCGCGCTCTCTCACTCGCTCACTCTGTTGCTTACACTCAGTTTTGTTACCTCTCTGCGTTTCGTTGGGCAGCCAAACGCTCTCGCTCTCTGCTTAAGTTCCACACTGAAGTTAGTTTGTCGTTGTGGTGTTCGTTTACATGGATGTCCGTGGCACGAATTGCGGCTCCTGAGCAGCTTTACAACGTTCGTTCAATTCAATCGCTCGTCAACCTTCGTTCGGCGCGTTACAACAAGCGAAAAAGCAGCAGCTCAGCAGCAGCAGCAACGACAACGGCAACGGCAGCGACAGCGGCAGAGATAGCGACAGCAACAGAACATTCGGCGTTGTTGCAACTACTCGGTTCGGTCGGCGGCAATGGTGGTTGCAACAGTGGAACCAGTCTCGTCCAGTTTCAGTCTCATCCCAACGTTCGTGACGGCAACAACAACGTCAACGCTCAGCTCTGTGCAGATCGGCGACGGTTTCGGTTTCGGTGTTACGTGTTTCGCGTGAGTGTTTGTGTTTGCGTGTACGTGTACGGGTGCGTGTGCGTTAATGCGAGTTAATGTTACCAGATCCAAGATACAGTTAGTTGCGCAAAAGTATCTCAATGCTAGGCGAAACAAAATGCGGCACCTGTGCACCGGTCGGCGCCAGCTATGCAAGCCAAGTTCAATAGCCGTTAAATAAACGCCTCTGGCTCTGACGGCATGTAACTAAAGCCAAAAAGTATCTCACAGCCCAAACGTGCTAAACATATCAAAGCAACCCACAAGATACTGTGCAACAACAACAACAACAAGTTATACAAAATAAGATCAATCAGATAATTGCAACAGCTTCGACTGCATTTAATTTGCATTTACAAAAGAATATATTAATAAATTCTATATCGCATTTCTTGATTGTGTGTGTGTTTTTGTGCAAAGCTTTTTAACTATTATATTTACCTAGAGAAATAATAATAATAACAAAAATATAAAATATATCAAACAAATCTAATAACTATACCCCATATACAATGCATACCAGCAAAGGATACAATCTACAATCAACTAATTGAGGCAACACATATTTTAAATCTAGGTAAGTGGGAGCTCACTCAGTTGTAATTAAATTAAATAAATCTAAGACAGTTGTACAAATTAATATGTATTTCTTATAGAAATATTGATATTTCCATATAGAAATGAAAAGAAAATAACATTCTAAATATTAGTTATGTATTAAAAAAAAAAAAACAATAAATAATAGATAATTAAAATATTCTACAATTTACTATTTTAATTAATAATAGGCAGTAAATAACTACAATATTTTAAAGGTGCATAAGTCGAGAAATGTTCAATTTTATTGATTTATAGTAGGAGAACATTCCTAAAATACGAAAACTAAATATAATGGTTGATATTGAATTATAGTTAAAAAAATGTACTGAAAATATTTTTTTTCCTTAATTTTAATTAAATTCTTTACTTAAGGAAATTGAAATTGGTTTTAATTTTAATAAAATAAAAAAAAACCTATCAATAGTTGTCTTTAATTTATAAAATAAGTCTTTTGAGGGGTTTCAACTTAAAATGGCAAAACAAAATAGAATTAAGATAAGCTAACAAATATAACTTTCACTTAATATATTCGTAATTTTTTTTGAATAATTCAAAATTTGTTTTATTTATACATAAACAAAACGCTTTTTATTAAATTTATATAAGATCATATATATATTTTTATAATTATGAAGTCTTTCAAGTTTGTTTAAAATATATAAAATATTTTGAGTGCATTTCATTAAAATGAAATTTTTAATTTGAAAATTTCGACTGATTTACATTTAAATGAAAAAGGAAATTTTCAAAATTTATTTGAAACAATTAAAGTTCAATTTTTATATTGAGACATTAAAAAGGAATTTAAGTTTTTAAAAATTGTATACCAAATGTAAATTTGTCAACACATGTGGTACTTTAGAAACTTTTATAGTTTATTATAGATTACTTGAATAAAATAAATATAATTTATGTCGCATCTCTGACTCCAAGGTCTGCCGTAAATCAAGTTCGATGAAAGAACGAAGCACTTAAAGACTCATTTTGAATATTTATGACAAAGTTTTGTGACACAAAGTGAATCGAATGAATGAATAAATAAACAAATCATTGTTTAATTAAGCAAAGAGTGAATAAAAAAAATAAAAAACAAAAATAAAAAAAACTAGAAACAAATGCGTAAACACGAGCCGAGCTCTTGATATTTGATTAAAACCGGTTTCGATTGATGGAGCTAATAAAACAAATAAATAAAACAGTTTTACGGTGCAATTTTGATTAAGCTGTCAGCAAATTGTCTTCAATTGGGAACAGTTTTGAAACACCGATTTTGTAAAAGTTTCGCCAATCGACAACAACTCTTTCGGCTGTGGCGTGTGGCATGTGTGGAATTTAGTGTGCCACACTGAACATTAATTAAACACAAATTAACAAAAGTCAAACTGTCAGCGGGCCGGGCCAATCAAAATAAGCTGCTGTATCTTATGGATACTAAACAGCAGCCAAACAGCAGCTAAGCAGGTCAACCCAACTGAAGAAGGCGAGTAGAAACGTTGCAATCGGGCGTCACCGACTGAAGAATACCCCAAAAACATACAGATTCATCTTTTCAGTTGGACGAATCGGAATTCCGGGAGTATATGCTCCAAATTTCAAGTCCAGCAAGAGCTGGAATTCATATAGCCAGCAAGACGGACATTGCACAGGCCTAATATACTCATTTCACTTACGTGAATGAGTATAACAAACTAGATATGAATTTTCTTTTCTTTTTTCTATGCTTTATCAGCCAGCGCGAGATCTTTTCGGTTTACACGACTTTCTTATCTGGCATCTGGCAGATGCTGTGTATCCACGAGATACTCATACACCAGCTATGTAGTTTCCCATTGAAATTTCATAATTTTCATCAGCAATTAAAGTTGCTCAGATCTAAGAGTTTAGCCAGGCCGGAGATTAGTTTTTATTGAAACGTTTGCCTCGTCTCTCAATCGGTTTATCCATTGCTATATATCTAAGATATATGCGAGCTGATGCTGCTGCATGCAGCTACCGCGCATGCATAATTAATTTCGTGTAAAAATCATAATTACAGCAATTAAAATTTATGTAAACAAGTTGGCAGCTCGACCGAGTTGGGGCTGTTGGGGCTGCCTGCAGGCGCCATTGCGGCGCAATCATCATAATAATCTTGAAAACTTTTCCTCATCTTCTGCTGCCTGTGTTTATATACATAGATATATATATATGTACATTTAGTTTTTCTTCAGCTCCTCTTCTTCATCGCTTGTGGTCGATTTTTATTAGCATTATGATAAAAGTTGGCGCTATCTTGTTTGTTATGATGCTATTGAAGTGGACCTTGATACGCAACGAAATGGCTTAAATAGCTTGACTTGATTAGCCTATAGGAAAACTTGAAAAACTGAACTCAATTGAACTGAATTTATTAAATATACATATGTATATGTACAATATATGTATATAATATATGTATATACTGAGACTGAGCGTATATTTATTTGACGAAATAATTTAGAGTATTAATGGAAAAATTTCATTAAGAGATAAAATTGTCTGTGCGGTATAATTTAAATTCAAATTATGTTAAAGCTTATAGAAATTCACTAAAGCTAATTTTGTAGGCCAGAGAGTTGATGAATTAAAAAAAAAAAATTATTGATTAAAAATAAAGTGTCCCATATAAATAAAAAAAAAAAAATAATAATAATAAATAAATAAAAAAATAAAAATAAAAAAATAAAAATAAAAAAATAAAAATAAATTTATTAATTATAATATATTATATACGAAGATTACTCAAGTATTATTCATTATTATTTATTACATATGTATATATTACTCAAGTGTTATTTACATTTGATACAGGGATATTAATATATTATATATTAAAATGACGTCTTTCTTAGCATTATAATATGTAGATATTATTATTTAAAAAATTTAATACGATATAGATATACATATTCAGGCACCATTAAAGTTCATAGAAATCAACGAAAATAAAATTTGTAGTCTAAAGAATTGATTAATGTTGACATTAATATACGAATATTGCTTAAACATTAAATTAAATTATAGCGTGTTTCTATGATTTCAATTTAACTCAGACTGCTGAATATATTATTTTGAGTATATCATATATACGATTATTATTGATTATAATTATTATTTTTATTATAGATATTTATAGTCAGTTATTTAATAATTATCCCTATTTTATATACTATATAAATATTTTTGGCTTTTCCCAAAAGTTTCTGATTCTTTTGTTAGTTACAATAATTTTCCTGGCTATTTTTAGCTTCATCTCTAACTTTAGACTGTCACAATTAATGGATGCTGTTCCTCTTTATATAATAATACTTCTTGCCGGTCAACACAACATTTCCTGCCCAGAGTCCTCCCACAGTCCACAGATAGCGCGACAGTTAAAATTTATGCTCATCATGCACTGAGAGTATGTCATGCAGCCAGCGTCTTGCTTCGACAACGTCTGCCCACATACGTATATCTGTATGTGTAAATACATATACGTGTGCGTGTGTGTGTAGTTTGTGCCACCGAATGGCCTGTGGGCCTCTGTATGTTCTTCTTTAATTAATTAGCATCTAACTAAGAATAATGTTTCCTGCGGCCGACTGTCATAACTTGGCCGGCAGTTTATTTGTTCTTGTTGCTGTTGTCGGCAAAGATACAAAAAAGATACCGAGATACAGATACACGACTGCACAGCTACAGCGCAGCACAGGTGCCACAATTTCTGCACCCGCTCCTCCCCCCACACACTCACACACACACACGCACGCTCTTGCCCCTGTAGGGGCAGGCAGTCGTGCATGGCCAAGGAAAAGAAACAGAAGGCAAACATTATTATATTTTTTTTTGTCTTTTTTTTTTTTTTTTTTTTTTTGGGGCAGCCAAATAGCTGCCACGCCCCCACCCTCAACATATCAGCAACGCTGGTTGGCATTTTTTTCCTTTAGTCTTATTCTTGTTTTTATTGCTCGCCAGGTTTTTTTCTTCTCTGCTCTGTGTTAAGTTGTAAAAATGCAGCTAAGGGAAATTATTTCTTGCGGTCGACGTCAGTGTCGGCGTCGGCGTTTGTTTGTGAGAAAATTTTCAAGTGTTGCGGCTCATAAAAGTAGCCACTGTATCTATGTGTGCTGGTTATGTGTGTGTGTGTGTGTGTCTTAGCATGTAGTTGAGAACTTTTTCATGTAACGACTTGGCGCCAGCTTTGCTCTTATTGTTGCCTCTGCAGTTTTTTCCTCTCCACGTTTTGTTTTTGTGTGTGTGGCAGCTTAAAGGCGAAACAACTTGAAGCTTTCCACAGTTCGTTTTGGCTATGGTCTTTGCGTGTGGGGCGCTTAATTAGTAAAAAACAAAAAAAAAGTTCTTGTTGTTAAAGTATCCCAAATATTTCAGGCTGTCAGCAGAGCTTAGAAAATGGAACACTAAAAGCATTTTACTTTAAAAATAAGACTAGCACAGCACCAAGACAATTACAGCACTGAGTAGAAGTGAATTGGACAAAGTGTAAATTGTGAATTGTCAGAGAAAGTAATTCACAAGGAATTTATCAGTTTTGTTGAAAATTTAGTTGGGAATGAATTACTAGAGCTATAAATTAATTTTTTTGTTCATAATTGTCTTAATTTTTTTTTTGGTAATCTATTTTAAATATATAATATGTATTGATATACGTATGCATATGATCTTAGTTCTACATACAAATAATACTAAATAAATAGTAATTGAATAATGAACAAAAATAATAACAAATTACAAGATTTAACTACTTAAATATAATAAAATATTAAAGAAATTATTACTAATAATAAAAAAAAATAAATATATACATTATTAAATGAAAAATATTATATCTAATTAAAACAGTTCATATAAAAAGTATATACATTAGGTTTATTTAATTAAATCATTCAATTATTTTTTCTGAAATAAAATTAAAAACATTTCTGTATTTCAATGCATAAAATTTAAGAAATATACATA